TGAGGGTGAAAGAGGAGAGCACAAAAAATGGTCTGAAGCTCAACATCAAAATAATTAATGCCACTGGTCCTATCACCTCCTGGCAAATAGAAGGGAAAGATGTGGAGGCAGTGACAGATTTTACTTTCTTGAGCTCCATGATCACTGCAGAGGGTGACAGCAGCCACGAAATTAAAAGACTCCTGCTTCTTGGGAGGAAAGTGATGACAAACCTATACAGCATCTTGAAAAGCAGAGACATCACCTTGCTGACAAAGGTCCGCATAGTCAAAGCCATGGTTTTTCCAGTAGCAATGTATGGAAGCAAGAGCTGGATCATAAAGAAGGCTGGCCGCCAAAGAATTGATGCTTTTGAACTGTAATGCTGGAGGAGACTCTTGAGAGTCCCCTGGATTGCAAAGAGAACAAACCTATCCATTTTGAAGGAAATGAACCCTGAGTGCTCACTGAAAGGATAGATCCTGAAGCTGAGGCTCTAATACTTTGGCCATCTCATGAGAAGAGAAGATTCCCTGGAGAAGACCCTGATGTTGGAAAAGTGTGAAGGCAAGAGGAGAAGGGGACGATATGGGAAGCTGCCAACATGAATTCGACCCAACTCTGGGAGGCAGTGGAAGACTAGAGTTCCTGACATGCTCTGGTCCATGGGGTCATGAAGAGTCAGACACGACTTAACGACTAAACAACAACAAATGTCATTAAGTATGAGATTGAAATACTGTTGAATTATCAATTTTGTATAATGTGACTTAAATTTTTGGGGTTGTGTCTAAAAGGTTATAATGTTTTGAATATGATGCTTCTCATAAGTGTTGTGATCCTCTTCCACTTGGCCATGGCAGATAATCAGGTTTCTCTAATTTTATCTTGAGGATACCTAATGAAACATGTGGGCATAGTGTTAGTCTCTGCAATTAAGTTCCATATTTATTCAAAATCAACAATCTATGCCGTTTCACTTCTGATGTATCTTTATTTGTTTAAAATATTTATATCCAGCCAATCCATCAGATGCTGTGCATGATTCCTTGTGTACACATAACTACGTTAACGATTGCATCATTATGCATGCTTTAAATACTATCTGTTAACTACACAGATGCAAAATTTGATGTTCAGTTTATCTTGCAAAGGTGAGAAATTGCAAAGTGAATAACTCTAGAGATGTGCATTCCGTTGGTTAACGCTTAAGTTTGATTTTGCTTGAATTACTTTGTAGACTCCTGAAGAATTGGATGATTCAGATTTTGAGACAGAAGACTTTGATGTCAGAAGCAGGACAAGTGTTCAGACTGAAGATGATCAACTTATTGCTGGCCAGAGTGCAAGGGTGAGAAAAACTGTTTTGATTACTCGTGTTCAAATTTTAATGAATGTGTTAAGAATATGTGTACCATACTGAAATGAGAAAAGTAGCGTTCCTCTCTTTGAATTAAAAAAAATTAAGGACAGGAAGTGTTTTATTTAGTTTTGATAATCCCTAATATAGGGATGGGCTTCTGCACTGGGAGAAAAATGAAATAAATGCATATATTTAAGCCAGGACTCAGGGTCGACAAACCAGTGTCTTCCAGATGTTGTACAATACAGCTCCCATAATATCTGATTGCTAGCTATGCTGGCATGTTTTATGGCAGATGTAGTCCAAAACTTCTAGTCTGGAAGGTGCCAGTGTACCTACCGACTGTCTATTCATGACAGATGGACCATTTCCCTTTGCATGATGGGAGCTTTAAATAATATGGGATGTAGTTGGCTGGAAGGTTACATATATAGTGGTGCCTCGCTTGACAAGGATAATCCATTCCAGCAAAATCGCTGTAGAATGAAATCGTCGTCAAGCGAAAGTAAAAATCCCATTGAAATGCATTGGAAACCAGTTCAGTGCGTTCCAGTGGATGAAATACCTCAGTGTCCAGTGAAGATCCTCCATAGGGCGGCCATTTTCCGGTGCCTGTAATGCGAGGAATCCGTCCTAAAACCCAGTGGGGAGCCATTTTGCACAGTGGGTGGCCATTTTGAAGACCCGACGATCAGCTGTAAAGATAATTGTTAAGCGAAAAATCGGTTCCTGAAGCAGGGAATCGATCGTCGTAAAGCATTTTTTCCCTATTAAAACATCGTTTTGCGATCGCAAACATCGTAAAGCTATTTTCTCATCTAACGAGGTAATCGTCAAGTGGGGCACCACTGTAATGGATACAAAACCAGCATATATAGCAAAGTCTGGCTCATCTTCACTCCACTCAGGAGCATCAGCCCAGTAATCTGTCTCACTCACCACCACCACCTCCTCCTTCCCGCCAACTGTCCACAGCTCTTCCATTTGGTGGGAGCGCTTGTTAGTGGGCCTTTTCCTGCTCCTCTCCTCTTCCTGCCTACCCAGGCCTTTCCAGTTTCTGAGATCCATTGGAACATTCTGTCTCTGGTAATGCCTGAAGAAGGGTTCCACCCCATGCCCATACGACATAGCTTTGACAAAAACTCTTGGAGGGCTATGAGAGACAAGCAGGTAGACCTTCATGAGTGCCCAAGCTCGCCCATTCATAACGTACTACATTAAACGTCAAATTTTGCTAATGTTGTTTACTTAAAGTGCAGCAAGCTAGAAGTAAATCTTTAGACAAGCCAAGTATCACTTTTGATTTGTTATCTTTTCTTGTGCCTCTCTTTGCATGTGTGCAGCACACACATAGAATACCACAAGAATTATTAACCAACAAGATATATATCAAAACGGTGCTTAATTTGTGTTGCTCCTCAGATCTGCCAGTGCACTGCTTAAAACCGTGGATGGGCATGCCTGTAACTTGCAGGTGCCTCAGACTATACTCTTACTGTTTCATAAACCCTACAATGCAATCCATAGTTTGCTGTGGAGACTTTTGTAGAGTTTTAAACTTGGGGGGGGGGCAGTAGATCATCTAAAAAATGTTGGCCATTTGTTTAAAACAGTGCCTCAGAAGGTATCCTTTTCATCAGTGTTTTCTTTTCCAAATAGTATTTGCTTGTAACATTAGTAGACAATTCATATAGTCACAAAGTTTGGATCAAGATGGGAAGAACTGTTCCTGTCAGCCCTTTAGCTGTAATTTAATCGTGCCCCTATGAATTTAGTGTAACCCAAAAAGCCTTCATAAATAGAATGATGCATGAAGCAATTCTTCATTCCAGGCTATCATGGCTCAACTCCCTCAAGAGCAAAAAGCCAAAATTGCTGAACAGGTTGCCAGTTTCCAGGAAGAAAAGAGTAAACTGGATGCTGAAGTGTCCAAGTGGGATGACAGCGGTAATGACATTATTGTTCTGGCAAAACAAATGTGCATGATTATGATGGAAATGACAGACTTCACCAGGTAAGGCTTCATAGAGATTTTACTGTTTAAGCACTTTAGAAGAAACTTTGCAAGGCTTATTTAATTCTGTTTCATGATATTAGTCCCTAAACAACGTTGATATATTATAACATCCTGCTTGGCATTGTTCTTAGTCTTTTCATTTAGTTGCCAGTAATTATCCATTTGAATCCAACTTGAGATCTGAAACTGCTTTAGTTCTGTGAGATGACCACTTTCAGAAGGGGGTTGAATCAAGGTAGCACAACTCTGTGTCTTATGATCTCTTTGCGCCGTTCATGACCAGCAAGCGGTGCTTCCTTCTGAAGAGGGAGGCTTCTTCTTTGGAACTGGGCAGGCACTTCTCACAGTTACTTGCCTTCATACCTAGATAGCCATTTTAGAACGTAGTGTGAGAGGTGGTAGTGCTGTGTTCTAAGGCAGCTGGGCTCTGGACACTATAGCTTTCTGTCCAGTTCCCTGTACTGTTTCACGGCTACAGAAGAACTGAGAGAAGAGATGCTTGTGCTTAGAGTGTGGTGTCGTTGGTGTCAGGTTGATCCTGACAAAGCAGTGGTAGTGGGAGATTAGCCCCATGCCATAAGAATAAACCCAGACAAGCACTTGGAGGAGATTGCATTCTGCTACCAAAAAAAACCTCATTTGTATTTGGGCTGTGCTTGCTCATTGAGTTTTTGAACTGGAAAAGAAGGAATCTCTGTAGGTCAGCATCTCACTAGGTTAAGCTTCTATGTCATCTGTATGACTATTTGGAGTGACATAGTTTTTCTTCTGCAATCTTATTCCTGATAATCTCCCATTTGGATTGTTGCAATCTTTTGTATATGAAGGTGTATTCGAAAACATTCAGGAAATTTAATCTGTTAATCAGATGGCTGGATTAGTAACTGGGACTGAATATTAAGAATGTAATATACCTCTAGTTTAGGGACGTGGTGCTGCTGCAAGTTAAATTGCAGAAGCCTCTGTGCTGCAAGGTCAGAAGACCAGCCGTCATAAGATCGAATCCACATAACGGAGTGAGCTCCCTTCGCTCGTCCCAGCTCCTGCCAACCTAGCAGTTCAAAAGCATGTAAATGCGAGTAGATAAATAGGTACCACCACGGTGGGAAGGTAATGGCGTTCCTTGTCTAGTCACACTGGCCACGTGACCACGGAAACTGTCTTCAGACAAACGGGGGCTCTACAGCTTGGAAACAGGGATGAGCACCGCCCCCTAGAGTCAGACATGACTGGACTAAATGTCAAGGGGAACCTTTACCTTTATACCACTAGTTGACTGCTTCTGTCAGCCCACAATTTTGTTCCAAGCCAACAAAAAGTGCTCTTGAAGCTTCCCTATAAAAAACACATATTGAAGCGTAGCCTGGTTGTAGTGACTCCTGTCCAGCTGGACATAATTTGCAACTACAGATTCATTTTCCAGGGTGACACTGCCATTTGCAGCCAGTTTTATGGCAACAGATCCTTTGATTTAATCATGACAGTGGTGGTCTGTTGGCTCCAGCCACAGAGTACCCACAGCTGGCAAGTGTGAATAAAATATGTTTTTTGAAAGTTGGTACTTCACAAATCAAATAAAAAAGCATTTGGTTGCATTCCTGATCCTAGTGGACAGAAACTATATTCCTTTTTCTGTTTCAGAGGTAAAGGGCCACTGAAAAATACTTCTGATGTGATTAGTGCAGCAAAAAAAATTGCAGAAGCTGGTTCAAGAATGGACAAGCTGGGAAGAACTATTGCTGATCATGTAAGTCACAACTGATTTCTTCACTAACTTTCAGTTTGACTTTAGTCTTGACTTTTGAGCTCATAAGCACCCTGAAGCCAGTAGCTTCATACAGCGTGTCTTTCTAAAATTCTTAGTTTCTTGTTTCCCACCAATGGCTATTAACTTTTGTTTATTTGTCCAGCTACTGTATCTAGGCTAGCCATTCTCAACTTTTTTGGGGGGGGGAAGCAAAGCGTGCTGCTTATATACCGCCCCATAGAACTTAAAGCACTCTCTGGGCGGTTTGCAACTTAATTATGCAGGCTACACATTCCCCTTCCCCAGCGTGAGCTGGGTACTCATTTTACCAACCTATGAAAGGATAAAAGGCTGAGTTAACTTTGAGCCTGCTACCTGGGACTGAACCCCACGTCATGAGCACAATTTTGGCTGCAGTATAGCAGTTTAACCACTGCGACACAAGGTGACATATATAAACTGAAAGAATATGAAAGAAACACAGGCTGGCTGAATCATGATTATATAAGTTGCATAAAGAACCATATAAGGTGGGGTGTGAAGAATTGTTTCTGGTAAATAAATAAGATATCATCACCGTGGGGAGGGGGCGATGATAATTTCTTCAATGGCTCAAGGGGGCGTTTCTTTCAAAAAGGTTAAGAACCACTGCTCTAGAGCCCCCCAGAGGGCCAAATGGCCCCTGTCGAAAATGGCTGATCTAACCTACTCCTATGCTGGATTTTTGTAAAGCACTGCCTTTGTTTCCAGTGTTGTACTTAGCATACAGGTGTTCGAGAAAAAAAATCCTTCCTACTCTTTACCAATACAGTCTTCTGCTACTGTTTGCAGCTTGAGTCTCCTGTCTGCCGCTGATTCAACTTCATATTTTTAACACTTGAAACATGCATGTTTCTAGGATTGGCAAATTCAGGCTCTGTTACGATCTTTCATCTTCTTTTTCAAATAATTTGTCTATATGCACACTTAACTTTATACCTCCGCTTTCATATGCAAGATACACTTTTCATAATGGAGTTCTGTGAACTATTCTCATTTGCACATAAAGACTTCATGGAGATTCAGGATCCATAGGAGAATTAGTCACAGAGCACTAACTATGGCTGTCTTGCATGTCCAGGCAAAAGACTGAAATTGCCACTGTTTACACCCCACTTACAGGGGTGCTGGCATTTTGGATCTTGCAGCTATCCTATAGATAAGAGTAAAAGGAATGTGTGTCTTTTCATTCATAAAACACTTTCTCACCATTTAGATGAATTTTCACTCCTTTTGAGAACTATTTGTTCAGTTCCCCTATCCTGTTATTACCTTAATTAATTCTGCCTTTTCTATCCTATTTTGCAGTCTGTGTGTTCGTGACAAAAGCAAGTGCTTAACACATTTTGCAGCCTGATTAGCTGAAACAGGAAGCTTTGCCTCTCTGTACATATAGTGCTGTTTTAAGCATATCAGTGGCATAGAAGTATTGAGAGTTCAAGATCTTCCCATTATAGACTGAAAGTTTTACATATGATTAATTTCTAATACAGATTATGCTTTTCAGTGGACTGCATTTGATGTAGATGTGGAAGAAAGAGAGCATAGAAGTGTGATAAAAAATTCTCTGTTTTCAGAGAGAGGCACCACTTGATGTGGTATGCATATATTACTGCCATTGGTAAACTGTAAATATTCTCATCTTGATGACAGAACTACAACAGAAATACATAAAGAGAGTTCACCCTTGTCCCCCAAAATGCACTGCTAGGCCTAGCCTTCAGTTTACCAGTGACAATATGTATTTTACCTAAATCATTTGGTTGTTTAATGGAAATGGGATGACACAATGGTGACACTTTTAACTTGTCAGAACTAAATACCAATCTTCTTTCTGGCTTCAGTGCCCAGATTCTGCTTGCAAGCAGGACCTGCTGGCATATCTGCAGCGTATTGCTTTATACTGCCACCAGTTGAACATCTGTAGCAAAGTGAAGGCAGAAGTTCAAAACCTTGGAGGAGAACTCGTTGTGTCTGGGGTATGTATATTTCTGAACATTTATGCTTTGTCTTCTATATTCAGCTGTTGTGCAAAGTGCTGTTTTGTTAAACAGCTGGCTAGATAGCTCAGTGAGTTAGGCATCTGGCTGCAGAGCCAGAGGTTGGGAATTCAGTTCCCCACTGTGCCTCCTAGAAGGGCCAGTCTATGTGGCCTTGGGCAAGCTGCACAGTCCCAGGACGCCCCCAGAAGAAGGGAAAGGCAACACTTGTTGTTATTGCTGCTCCTACTCTTTTAAGTCAGAGGTTGTATTGTATACTTGCAATATTGTGTCACTTTTTTACAGGTCTAATATGCAGGCTAAATCCAAGTGGTATTTTGGAAAAACAGTACAGAGATCTGTCTTCTCACTTCTTTCCAAAAGACCATTGTCGGAAAAATTTGCGTCTCCATAATGAGGACTGTACTCTTGCATACATTATTTCCTCTTCCCCACTCACCCCCTTTTATAACATTTTTTGAAATGTCTGATTCGTTTAGGACAGTGTTTATTTTATATATATATACTTTTACTTCCCTTTACTTTTCCAATATTACAATTTTTGTTTAGATGTATTACATCTCCATTTTAGTTACTGTTTGTTTTTTCGTACTTTTAAATTAGAGAGAGAGAGATCACTTAAAAGTAAGAAAAAACAAACAGTAACTAAAACGGAGATGTAATAAATCTAAACAAAAATTGTAATATTGGAAAAGTAAAGGGAAAAGGAGGGAGCACAGAGAAGAAGAAGAAACAAAATTAGGACAATGCTCAAGTATGGCACCTGCATGAAGTGCAAGACAGCATGCTTTTGTTCAGCAATGCAGGTCTTCTCCAATATTTCCAGGTTTTAATAGTTTAAAGGCATAAATAGACTGTCTCGCTATATCCCACTTGAGCAAACCTCCCCCTTCCTTCATTGTTTATGTGTCGATGAGAAGCACACTATATGACACTTAAAATGGTTGAGCTATAGCATGTTTCTTTCTCTTGTTCATTTTGATCTGTTCTGGCTGTTCATGAAAATATTGATCCTCGCCTTCACAACTGGTTCAAACAATTACTGTAATGAAAAAGCATGTTACAGGGTGTTGGAGAAAGGAAGGCTTCCATTCATAAGCTTTTGATGCTGGCAGTTAGAGATAAACTAATAACAGTGAATTGTGCCTTTGACAAATGGTGAAGGAAAAAGAACTCAAATGGTACTATTGGTAATGCCATTTATGGGTGAAGTACTTCTCAAAGTCATAATAGACTGTAGATTTTTAGCACAGTTCTCATCACCATAAGAGTCATGCTAGTGAGAGTGGCAGCAGCAGTGTTCAGATATTGAAGGTTTCTCACTCCTGACTTGAGGTTCCCAAAGACACTTCCTGTTGAAAGGGACCCCAAGAGAGCCTCTGAACATGGGGAAGGGGCAATGGGAAACTTTAAATTAAATATTATCAACAGTGGCTGGTGACATCATCAGGATTTATGACCATGCAGCTCTGCCAACAGGTTTTCAGCCAGTGGGTCCTAACTCATACTTCCCATATATAACAACTAATTTATGATCTGTGCTGCTACAGAAACTGCAGAAAAGAAAGGGCAGCTTGGTCTGTTGATTCTGAGGTCATTTCATGTCATTATTTTTCCTCTTTTGTAGAATTCTGCTGTAACTTCAGATTCTGAACATTACCTCAAATCTCTCATATTCTCATCTGGCTATGATCTGTCACAGCAGACCTGATACCACTTTGAGTGGATGTCCATGTCCTTTTGACAGTACAGTGATGTGATGCTCCTTGCCCAGATGTTAATGTGATATATATCAGTGCTGGCAGATAGAACAGTCTTGTTCGAGACAAGTGCAAGTACTGCATAGTGGTCACGTCAGCAGTTGACCCAAATCTATTTTGACACAATAGAAACCTGCTGTGTACATCTCAGATTTTTTAATTTCCATCTGTTAGTTTAACTGATAACTTGCTAGAGCAGACACCACAGTTCATGTCAAGGTTTGGTGAATAAATTGTCAAGCTGTTAATTTACCTCAGTCGTTTGCCTGTAGCACTTGGCAGAGGGAGGCAAAGTATATAACAAGCCAACACAGACTCTCCTATCAGACCAAAGCTGCAGATCAGATGCTATAGGACTAATGCTTAAGATGTTTGCTTCCTATAAACAGTCATTAATGCTTTTTTTATTTTACAGTACTTGTCAATTTCATTTTGCCTGCCCCTTGGCTCATTGAAGTGGGCCAGAAATCTCACTGTGCATCCAGAATAGGGAGTTGGTTCCACAGTAGCCTTTGGTCCATTTTGTTCCTTATATTTCTATTTGATCTGTCTGCTACAAATACTGTATCTGTCAGAGCACTCTAGACTATATGGTACCAGAAGAAGAGAGCTTCAGGAGGACTTGGCTGAAATCCTTTTGCAGAGGAAGCTCAAGCCTAACTTTCTCTTCTTCCCTGGAAAACAGAGTATCGCTCCTGTGATTTTTAGGAGTTTGCACAGACATTGACTTGCTATGTGTGTCCATGTTCACTGCTGAGAATCACAGCAACAGTGGTTGTTTATTGGAAGAATGGACAGGAAGCTACACTTTGGCTTACGCTACAAACAGGATTTCAGCCATTATAAAGTATTCTCCCCCCCCCCTTTTCCTTGCTAGCCTGGCCTAGGTCATCAATGGATACACAGTTTTAACAGGATGTTCCAGTGATAAAAGGATTCAGCCACTCTTCATAATGGAACGGGTCCTTGAAGTATATAAAAATGTACTTTGCCACTCTAGAATTTGGTATAAAGGGTGACTGGAAGCCTCTTCTATTCTCTGCCTAGTAGGCTATGTTCTGGATGCTGTTTAAAACTTCTATGTTCTGGATGCTGTTTAAAAGTTCTTCTCGGTGATCTGATTTTAGGTGGATAGTGCCATGTCTTTGATTCAAGCTGCAAAGAACCTGATGAATGCTGTGGTACAAACAGTGAAGGCTTCCTACGTGGCCTCCACTAAGTACCAGAAGTCTCAGGGGATGGCTTCTCTGAACCTTCCAGCAGTGTCTTGGAAAATGAAAGCTCCTGAGAAGAAACCGCTTGTCAAGCGAGAGAAACAAGATGAAACACAGACGAAAATCAAGCGAGCCTCCCAGAAGAAGCATGTTAACCCAGTGCAAGCACTCAGTGAATTCAAGGCAATGGAGAGCATTTAAACAGAGGGAATATTCTGGGTTTTATTATTACTGCTTTCAGAATTTCTTCCAATACTCTGTGAATTATGTTATAATTCATTTACTTAATATTTTAATAAAGTCATTTAGAGTAAGAGGAAATAAACAGATTTATGAAGCATGACAATACATCTTTAAATCAGCAGACATGTTAATTTTAGTATGGAAATGCTGTTTAGAATGCTGTTGCATTTTTCTAGCTGACTTTTTAAAAAGTATTAAATTCTGATTTAAATCTATTTTGTAACCAAAGGTGAATTTGCAGTAACATTGATCCTTCACATAGCTGGACAGTGTTGTTACTTTTTAAGAGAAGTGAGCATTCTCCACATTAAAATAGGATGGTTTTATTAAAGTATATATTGCTTTGAGTGGGTAGGTCATTGTATGTTGAAAGAATTGGTAAAGTGGAAGAAGCTAGATGCTGCTTGTAACATTGAGACAACACTAGGAAACAGTTTTGAGAAAGTAATACTGTACTCTGTACCATTCCTTTTTAATTTAAACAGCTTTTGCCCTGCTTTCTTTATCTGAAATGGGACACATTGATGCATTTCTCTTGACTTTCTGGAATCCAGGTTGCTTTTAATGATGTGCATGTTAGAAATGGCTACACATAGAGGAGGTGACTTATTGCCACCCTAGCGTTTCTGAAATACTTTTCAGTAGATCTCTTATAAGGGTTTCCATGGAAGCCTGTATGTAGAAAGACAATCTAGAAAAAAACTTGGTGTGTAAATGCATCATGAAGACTGTGTTGTTTGAAAGAATAAAATGTTTCGTTTAGTTGCAAATTACTGATCTACTTTGCCACAAGACTAATAAAAGTTGCTTTTACCAGGCAGTGCTGTAAATGTTGCATGTTTTCTCTCAGCATTCTATGCAAATCCATCATTGTGTTCTTCTAATAATTGCTGTGCATCCAGCCTTGGACTTAAAAAAGAAACCTAGCAAGTAGTGTATATTCCAACTGCCATTTAGATTTTTGTTTATCATTACGGGAGCTTGGTGGCATAATTTTGCTGTTTTGAAATTTTTATGAATATCTGTTTTTATACCTTTTCCAATAAATTCTAGTGTAAAAACCAGTTACATAGTTCAAAGTCTTTTTTGCACTCCTGATTCTAAAATGAACTAGCCATGTGATTGATGGTGGGTAATTTAAAGGACCAATAATTTGTGACTGACATATGAATCATTGTGTTACTTAAGTTAAAATGGAAGTAACAGGAGGTCTACTATAGTTTCATTGCACCCCAGGTGAAATCCCTCTGCTTGTATCATGACTCATGCAGTGTGCAAGGCAGGGGGGGTTCGTTTAGGAGACAATTGGCTGGGTTCTTGGCATACTGTTGTAGTATTTGTTCCAAAGGGTAGCCGACTCGGAGCTGTTTCTTGTCTGTCCACGGTTAAGTACAGTCTTTAAAAAAGAGCATACTGTAAATCAGAGGAGTAACCTTACTATCATCACAGTAGCTAGTTTGTCAGCATGGGTGATTCAGAAAGCATTTAACAAGATGCTTTGGATGCAAAACCAGTACAGCGAGATTGCAGAAACCAGACCTTTACTTCCCTGATCAAGCTGACCAGATGGGGGATTTTTTCATGAAAATGACTTTTGGGACATTCTCTTACACCTGCAAGTGTTACCTTCTTTAATGGTCCAGAGGTGAAATCACTGAACAAATATTAATCACCAAAACTTCTACCTCAACTTAAGGTAGATTTTCTGTTGCTAGCTTGAGTGACTTAGAATGTCATTGATGGTCTGGGTCATAATACAGAACTAACTCTGGTACTGTTGAACGCCAGGTCTATAGCCAACAAGCCCCAGGTGATTCACAATCTTATCCTGGAGGAGAATGCAGACCTGGCATGCATAACCGAGATGTGGATCAGCGGGGAGGGGGGTCCTCCCCTGGCTCTTGTCTGTCTGTTCGGTTATGCTGTCCAGCACCAGGGTAGACTGGAGGGGCAGGGGGGGAGTAGCCATTGTTTATAAATCCAGCTTGGAGGTTACTAGGCACTCCTCGGTGGTAAAGCCGGGTCTAGAGGCACTCCACGTGTCGATTGGGGCCAGGGATGGTATTGGGATTTTGCTGGGTTAACCGCGCTCCCCGCGATCCAGCCACTTCCCTTCCGGAGTTGACCGACTTTGTCTCCGCGGCACTATTGGGATCCCTGAGGCTTTTGGTCTTGGATGATTTCAACATGCACGCAGGGGCAGAGGCATCTGGGTCACCTCTTGAGTTCTTGGAAACCATGGCTTCCTTGAACATGTCCCAACATGTCAACGGCCCCACCCACGTGGGTGGTCACACACTGGACCTGGTCTTTTCCTCCAGTTGGAGCGAGTGTGATCTGGTGGTGACGGACCTCATCCCCTTGTCATGGTCAGATCACCACCTAATAAAATGTAACCTCACAATGGCTCTCCCCCCTCGCAGGGAGCAGGGACCTATTTCTATGGTAGGTCCTCGAAGACTACTGGATCCTGCTGGATTCCAGGACGCCATGAGAGGTGTTACGGCTGACTTGGCTAGCGCTCCTGTCAAGGCTCTGGTTGACACCTGGTCCACTTTCACAACCAGGGCTATAGACACGATCGCGCCTAAACGCCCTCTCCGTCGTAGAGCTCGGTCAGCACCCTGGTTTAACCAGGAGCTTCGAGTGATGAAGCGAATAAGGAGAAGGCTAGAGCGTAGATGGAGGAAGAACCCGACAGA